CCTAAAGGAAATCAGTCCTGAATATTCATTGGAAGGACTGATGCTGAAGCTGAAACTCCAATACTTAGGCCACCTAATGTGAAGAACTGACTCATTGTGAAAGACCCTGATGCTGGGAAAGATTGAAGGCAGGAGGAGAAGGGGACGACAGAGGATGATGGATGGCATCACTGACTCAATGGACATGAGTTTGAGCAAAATTGAGGGAGCTAGTGAAGGACAGGGAAGCCTGACCACGGAGTCGCAAAGAGTTGGACACGACTGAAGGACTGAACTGAACTGGAAGGAGAGATGCAACCAGGCAGGACTAGTGCATAAAGGCCGGTCCCAGGAGAGTGCTGCCTTACAGCCGAGCTTCCGCACCCATCCCAGCCCACATCCCGCAGTTCCGAGTCTCTGCAGTGAAAGGTGGGAGATCGGGCAGAGGGGCAGATGGACGCTAGAAAGTCTTGGAAGATTCAAGTGCCCGAGGAACCTCACCTCCCAAGTAGTCTGACTAAAACACTCTCCGAACCTTAGTCCATCTCGGTTTCTGCGAAATGAGTGGCACCTACTGGGAAGCCCTTCCTAGCTCCGCTCTGGACCCTGTGCCAGCTCGGCCATTTGAAAGACCTTGGAGTGGGAGACAAGGTCTTAAAGCCCGCCAGGGCTGGGTATGGAGTGGGGAGCGAAGACTGGCAGACCTGTCCTCCAGTGTTTATGCAAACTCGGCAGCGGGGTTGGGGAGAGGAGGACGATCCCCGACGCTACCCGGGGATGGGCTCTGGGCCCGGGAGGCTCAGAGGCAGAGACTGCAGGTCGCTGGACCGCAAACGCGAGACAGGGGTTGCTGGCAGAGAGCCCAGAGCTGCGCGTCTGGGAAACAGACTAGTTAGCAGAGAGCTCAGTCCAGTCCCCACTGCCTGCGCAGGGGCCTCATCTGGAGAACTTAGCTGGAGCATTTCACGGAGCAAGGGGCCAAGTTCCCAGGGGAGCTGAGGAAGATGTTCTCCATAGCTTAGAACCTATCACTGCCTCCCAGGGATTCGGTCTACTAGGGAAAGGAACTGAGAATTTGCGGAGTGTTTCCGGCTGGAGCGAGGTGGGGAGCGCAGCGTCGGCACCTTACCCCCACACACCGCCAACTCCAACCACCAGCGGCAGGGGCCTCTGCAGAGTTACGGCAGCCTTCCCGCCCTCTTCGGATGTTGGGTGTCCATCCCTGCAGCTCCTTCCCAAATCCTTCTTTTCCCCTTTGGTTCATCTGTGCTTCCACCTGCGGACCCCATCTGGCGCAGTTACTCCAAGGCGACCTAGCTAGCGCCCCCTCCAGGACTGGGTTGGGAGCACGCTCGGTTTGCAGACTCCCACGGCAGGTAGCAGCAAAAGGCTTGGTGGCTGCGATGGTGCAGCGAGCCGGTTGTCGACAGATAGTGCAGCTGCGGCCCTGTGAAAGAGGGCTGGCGAGTACGCAGCCCAGGTACGGCCCCTTCTCGGTGACGTCACTACAGCCTGTTATAAAGACCTCGGGCGCAGCCTGCCAAGGTTCTGCTAACTCCCAAGCCGAGCAGGACTTGAGCCAAGAGGCGCCTGCAAAGCTGCAGGCGGCGGCGGCGGCGGCGGCAGCGGCGGCGGCTGTAATGAAAGCGGAGGAAAAAATCTCCAGCTAGACCCAGGGCCCCAGAATCCCGGCCATAGACTCTGACTTTTACGGGTCGTGCTGTGACTAAGACCTCCCAGTCTTCTCTTCGCCCCCCAGGTCCTTACGCAGCACAGGGCTTTTGCCTTTCTCGCTGCAGGCAGGAAGAACAGCACTTGCAAGCAGCAGCAGGTGCAGTAAGGTGGAGGGGTGTCTCCTGCTTCCTGGAACCGTGACCCGTGGAATTTCTTTCTCTGTTCCAGCTCAACGCAGGAGAGACGCTGTTTTGCAGATTACAGAACTCAAGCGCTTCCTGAAGCTTAAAAGTGGAGGAATTCAAAGCCAAGGATATACAGCACATCTAGAAGATTTTATTTGAGCCTCAAGTCTTCTGCTTGTAAGGAAAGGGATCTGTCCAGAAAGAGCCTGCGAGCCCTCCCGTCTGGGTTAAACAGGACTTTTTGACCTCAGGCGCTGGCTCAGGACCCTGCTACGAAAGGGTCTCTGTGTGTATAGAGAGGAGGGCTTAATCGCTTAGCAGAAGAATGGATAATGTCCTCCCAGTGGACGCAGACCTCTTCCCAAACATCTCCACCAACATCTCGGAGCCTAACCAGTTTGTGCAGCCGGCCTGGCAAATTGTCCTTTGGGCAGCTGCCTACACAGTCATCGTGGTGACCTCCGTGGTGGGCAACGTGGTGGTGATGTGGATCATCTTGGCCCACAAGAGAATGAGGACAGTTACCAACTACTTCCTGGTGAACCTGGCCTTCGCAGAGGCCTCCATGGCTGCATTCAATACAGTGGTGAACTTCACCTACGCTGTCCACAACGAGTGGTACTATGGCCTGTTCTACTGCAAATTCCACAACTTCTTCCCCATTGCTGCTGTCTTTGCCAGTATTTACTCCATGACGGCTGTGGCCTTCGATAGGTGAGCTTGACCTTTGTGGAAAAAGGGAAAAGGTATCTCGAAAGGAAGGTAGCATTGCTATGGAGCTTCAGGGTTGAGTAGTGCATGATTCAAGGAGGAGGTTGACCACTTGTACCCTGGATTTGTACTGACAGCTAGCTGAGTCAGTTGTTGATGGGGGATTTTCATCTTATCTGATGCTTTTCTATCTCTCCTTTCTTTTCTACTCCTTTCCACTGGTCACCTGTCTCCTTTCCATTACATGTACATGTGTGTGTACAATCACTCAGTCATGTCTGACTCTTTGCAACGCCATGGACTGTAGCCCGCCAGGCCCCTCTGTCCATGGGATTTTCAAGGCAAGAATCCTGGAGTGGGTTGCCATTCTCTTCTCCATCTTCTCCATCTTTCCCACATAGGCATTGAACTTGCATCTCCTGCATTGGCAGGTAGATTCTTTACTACTGAGTCGCCTGGAAACATCCTCCCCCCCACCTTTTTCCTTCATTTAACTCTTTTTCCCCCCCTCTCCACTCGTCTCCCTGACAGTTTTCCTTTCAACTCCTGCTTTGCTTCTTTCTGTATATTCCTTCTCTCTCTGCCTTTACAGCCTGGAGGGGATCCCCAGGGTGCAGCCAAGGGCCCGGCCCTGCCCTGGGCACTGTGAGTCCCTGCAGGTCTGCGCTTCTGCTGTGCAGCCTCTTGATGCTTTCCAGTTTTGAGTACCTGTAGGCAAAATTCCTCATTTTCACTTTTTTCCTGAAGATTCAGGGGCTTTCTGCTCCCATCACACCCCTCTAATATTATTTGGATGTTAAGAGCATTCCGTTAGAATCGTAAAATGCAGAATTCTAATTAAGGTCTGTCTGTGCTGCTAGGAGCTCTCATTCAGGAATGAGAGGCAGCTGAACTCCACATATAGGATCCAGGAGTTTTTCAAAATTTCTCTTGCCATGTAAGGCCAATGTTTCTAGACTGTCTGTATCCATAGAGAAACATGCTTGGCAAAGGCAATCAAAGGCAATTGAGAGCTCTTTCCTGCATCCAACAGGTTAGGGTTCCAGAAGCTGATTAATAGTGAAAATGTTGGCATTTTCAAATGGGTCCTAAGGTGGCATGATGGAAAACTAATTATTAGAGCATGGCTCTATTTGTATTGACTTTTTGTGAGTGCTCTAGGTCTCTAATGTGTGTATCTATGGGTTCACAAGTGTTAAATGTTTACCTAGGATGTGGAGGTATGTTTAAAACACCTGCCACTGTGATTTTGAAATGGGTCCTTCTGATGGCCTTTCTGAGATAAATAAATATGAGAAACCCAAAGAAGAAGCTAAGAGAAAAGCTTCAAAAATTTTTTCCCAAAATTACTGAACTCTTTTGCATAAAATTTGTAATTGATTTAAGTGGGTTCTATAGCCAAATCTCTTTTTAAATTAGAGAAAACTGTTTCTTTTACAGTGATATCCAAATGCTGATTTTTAAGTTCCCTTTATGCAACTCTTATGTGCTTAATATGTAATGTGTAAAATAAATTATGGTGAGTCAATTTATATTTTAAATGTAGAAGAGAAACCAATTACTCGAACTGATACTGAAATGAATTGTTTTGAGAATTTCTCTCTTATGCTACTCTGGTTTTTAGATATTTGTTTTGCTGGATGTCAGGTACACCTGTAAGTCTTTCTGCAGTGACTTGCTCCTTTAACTTCTCAGCCCGCTTAAACTTAGAAAACTCACAGCGTGATGTATAACTGATTTTATGTGCAGTGAAGCCTGATGCCATTTCAGCTTTACACATGCTATCTTGATTATCCCTAACTTAGAGGGAAAGTTGATATATTTACTTCATTGGATACTTGTGAGCTCAAGGGAGACCTGACAGTCAGTGTGAGCCCAAGCATTCAGTAGCTGATGGAGCCCCAACGGACAGCTCTCCTGCTTTGGCTAATACAGAAATGACATGTTCCAAGCACCTCTCTTTCTCTTTGCACTTAGAAGGTGAGGGGTAGGATTCAGGGTCCAAGTCTTCACAGTGGGTTGTGAAAGGAGCCAGATTGTGGCTGCCTTGACTCTGACACCTCAGGCTCTGCTGTTTGTCTCTCGGCAAACCACACACAGGACCCTGACCCACTGTGACACCCTCAGTAAAATCAGAAGATCTCTGGTGACAACAAAAAAATGCCACTTGTGCCTGATGTGCAGGTTATCAATGGCATGCTCAGGGTTGGAGTTCAAGTACAGTCAGATTGCCTCAAGGCTGTGTCTCTAGGTTCCCCAATGCTCCTTCTGGTTTTTCCTTTTCTGCTCATGAGCAGAGTGAATTAATCCCCTTAGGTCCTCCCATGAATCTAGCTCTCCTACAGGCATGGTCATCTATTCTTTCCCTAGAATGTTTTAGAAAGGAAGAGGCTTCCAGCTCTCTCCATATGAATGATCTCTACTCTGCTGTGGCAATGCCGACTTGGAGGAAACGTTAAATTACCTTTTTGTATGCTCCTTGCATTTTTAACAGATAATCTTTGAATTATCTTAAAAAATAAAAGCAACATGGTTTTCCTCATTATAAAATTAGACTTCGTTCATGAAGAACATAGACACAAAAATACAAATCACCCACTACTCCACCATGCAAAAGTATTGGCTGCCTTGACTCTGACACCTCAGGCTCTGCTGTTTGTCTCTCGGCAAACCACACACAGGACCCTGACCCACTGTGACACCCTCAGTAAAATCAGAAGATCTCTGGTGACAACAAAAAAATGCCACTTGTGCCTGATGTGCAGGTTATCAATGGCATGCTCAGGGTTGGAGTTCAAGTACAGTCAGATTGCCTCAAGGCTGTGTCTCTAGGTTCCCCAATGCTCCTTCTGGTTTTTCCTTTTCTGCTCATGAGCAGAGTGAATTAATCCCCTTAGGTTCTCCCATGAATCTAGCTCTCCTACAGGCATGGTCATCTATTCTTTCCCTAGAATGTTTTAGAAAGGAAGAGGCTTCCAGCTCTCTCCATATGAATGATCTCTACTCTGCTGTGGCAATGCCGACTTGGAGGAAACGTTAAATTACCTTTTTGTATGCTCCTTGCATTTTTAACAGATAATCTTTGAATTATCTTAAAAAATAAAAGCAACATGGTTTTCCTCATTATAAAATTAGACTTCGTTCATGAAGAACATAGACACAAAAATACAAATCACCCACTACTCCACCATGCAAAAGTAGCACCTGTTAACATTTGAATTTCTCTTTTTATGACTATTTCACTATATTACTGAAGTAAGATTCTAGGTAATTTGGTGGGTTATTTTTTCCATTGGTATTAATGAAAAACATTAATAACATTTTCTCATGTTATTAAAACTCTTCAGTAACATAATGGTAGTAGCTTCCTATTAATATTATTCCATTATATGAATATGCTATTATTACTTTAACCATCTCCCTACTGTTGAGAATCTACTAATTCTGTATGATAATTTTATTTTGTTTTCTTGATTGTTTCCTTAGGGTAGATTCCCAGAAATAAAATTACTGGGCCAAATGAAATGAAATTTTAAAGAATGATTCTTCCTAATTTTAAAGAATTCTAAACCCTGGGCAGAGCATGGAACATGTCTTTTCTGTTTTGTTTACTTTATCTCCTCAGAACGAAGAAGAGTGCTTGGTACTTAACAGTCACTATATGCTTATTGATTAAATGAATGAACAAATAAAATAATACATGCTCCTATAGAAACATTTGGAAGAACATTATCAATGGCATGCTCAGGGTTTATAACTATGTTCAAGGTAGAGTTAGGAATAAGGTCTCAAGGCTGTATTTCCAAGACCTCCATTTTAAAAAATGTAAAAATCTACCATTCCACTACAGAAAACTGGATAAAGATCTGGAATGCTAGCTTATACTTACTTTTTCTGTTACTTATGCCACAGAGAGTCACTCATATTTAATCTACATTTTGGATTGCAATAAAAACAGTTTCAACGGTTGTTTTTTTGTGTGTTTTGTTTTGTTTCATTTTCCAAATCATGAAATAGTTTTCAAAATAAGATTTTTAAAGGATGCATTATATTGCGTAGCTGTAATCATTTATTTCATCATTCCTCTATTTTTAGATGTATATTGTTTCTATTTTTAATGATTACAAGTAACTGTGAAATTAATATCCTTGACAGAAATCTGAGAGCATCCCTTGTTCTTTTCATAGAATAAACTCCTTAAAATTGAATAGCTGGGTCAAACTGTCTTGGTAAACTTTGCCAAATTTCCTTCTAGAAACAAAGTGTAGGCAGAGAAAAAGACTTCAGCTGCAGATTGTAGAACTAATTTGAATCCTTCCTGTAAACTTTCCATAGAGTGAAGGGAGAGAGACAGAGAGAGATAATGAGATTCCCTTCAGAAGGAATACACATTTACTGAAGGCAATGGCTATCTAGAATTTTTTAAGGTTGCAGAGACAAATATACTAAATAATATTAGGTTTACTAATTAAACTCCAACAAATACCAAGGATTTTTCTTTTTAAAAATCTGTAATTTCTCCCACTCAAAACAAAATTTTAAAACTCCTTTATATTTTAAAAACTAAAAGGTATGTGTGTGACGTTTCATGAAATTAGAAGTTGGAAGACCCTGAGAGGTGACACTTTCATTTTTTAGGAGCCAGTCTTGATGACTGGTTCCAGTTCTGTGGAGCAGCATCTAAGAAGATAGGAGGGGGGAACCAATCCTTAAGCCCCACAAGAGGGGCAACAGAAGCAAATGGGAACCTGACTTGGAACCCAGCTCACAGCAGCCAGAGGCTCAGAAAAGTGCTGGTCTGATAGCACTGTTTCTTTACGTGTCAGGGGCTGTTATAATTTCAGCGAATGAAAGGTAAATGTTGCTTACTTCTCAGACTGGGTCTAAATATACAATAGATATACAATATCTATATGTATCTATATGTACATATACAATATACAATATAGATATACAATAAATATACAATATTGTATATATATACAATATATATACAGATATAT